TCTCCTGTTTTGCTGACCTTCCACTTTACCAAGCATGATGTCCCTCTTCAAGTAAGAGACAAAGTGTAGCCATCCTGGCTTCTGTGGAACATTCTGGCTGTATTTCTTCCAGCACAGATTTGTTCTTCTGGCAGTCTGTGATATTTTTAATATTCTTATTGAACACCATAATTCAAATGCATTGATTTTTCTCCAGTCTTCCTTATTCATTGTCCAACTTTCATATGCATATGAGGTGATTGAAAGTGCCATGAGTCAGGTTCATCTTCATTGTCAAACAGGTTATCTATGCTGCAGACTTGCCTGATGCATACAACATTTGATTTCTTGACTGCTGCTTCCATGAGTGTTGATGATAGATCCAAGCAAAATGAAGTCTGTGACAACTTCAATGTCTTCTCCATTTATCATGATGTTATTTATAGGTCCAGTTGTTAGGGTTTTTTTTACATTGAGGTACAATGTAGAAGACTTTGATCTTCATCAGTAAGTATTTTAAGTCTTCTTCACTTCTAACAAGCAAGGTTGTATCATCTGCATATTGCAGGTTGTTAATGAGTTTTCCTTCAATCCTAATACCACATTCTTCTTCATATAATCCAGTTTGTTGGGTTATTTGTTCAGCATACAACTTGAGTAAATATACTAAAAGAATACAACCATGACTCACACTTTTCCTGATTTTAAAATCATTCAGTATCACTTTGTTCTGTTAGAACAACTTGGTCTATGTACAGGTTGCTCATGAACACTATTAAGTGTTCTGGAATACTCATTCTTCATAGTTTGTTGTGATCTACACAAAAGCCTTTGCATCATCAATAAAGAGTAAGTAAGCATCTTTCTGCTATTCTCTGTTTTTAGCCAAGGATTTATCTATTGTGGCACTGATCAGAACAGTCAATCATAGTAGCTGGGAACCATCTCAACTTTGGTTTCTTTTTCACTCTTTTTGCTCCAGATGAGTAGAAACCAGTAGTTTATTGGTCTTAAATGGCTGCTTGCAAACTTTTAAGATCCCAGATGCCATATAGAATATGAATGCTGTGAGCTATATAATGTCAATTAATTGAGTTGTCCCTTGGGACTAAGGTCCTAGGGCTTCAAATCAAGCTTTAATTTTTTAACTACATCATGGATTATATTATATTTCTATTGAAGATACTGAGGCAGACTAGTACTGTTAGAAAATAATGATAGCTTACCAACTAAAATATATTTTGTGCTCAGGTCACTAATTATTCTTTGTTATTAAACATAAAGGTTAATTTTCAATGTTTGACCTTGAAAAATTAGCACCATTTTATCACTCCTGTGAAACCCTATATAGGGTCACTATGAATTTTGATGCCTGTTAGTTAAAGACGACCAGATATAGTGATTCTTTACATGACAGGGAACCATGGTGTGTCTTATTATGAAGGTGTTGGATGAGCTTTCAGAATTTGGGCTTTTTTTAGATAATTTCAGTGAGGATTCAGAGAAGTGGATAAATTTTCTCTGGATTGGATGCTGTCAAGAAGTAGGGTACTTTTTATTGGAGCATCTTAAATCTTCACTAGGAAGTAAGAAGAACAGGGCGAGACTACAACTAATTGGTAAAGAAGCAATAGTCTCTCATGTGAACTGAAATTTCTTTTCATCATTTGTTTTGTGTGTGTGTGTGTGCTCTGATGTGATTCCAGAATAGCTTGCTTATCCTCACTAGATCGTGGTCACAGAGGACCTTAGGTCATGTTGGTGATTTATGAGATTGTTTCTGTTCAACAGAACATCACCACAGCTTAACTGTGTGCTGAGCCATCTCCTTTCTTTCTTACATAGTTGGGATAGACCGAGAAGGTTAGGTAGTATATGGACAGTAGGAAGGTGGTTGGAAGAGTGTTTTAGGCAGGAATATATGAACAAAGAACATTCCAAACAGAGTTAAGTTTCTTCCCTCCCCTCACATACTGTCATTTCCTTGTATGTGAGGGAAGAAACTTACTCTGTTTGGAATGTATCCTAAGTAGATGGATCTAGTGTTAATGTTGAGCAGAGATACTTTGCTTATTCATCAGTTGGGGAAGAGGGCTTTATGATGAGGTTACATATCAGCCATCACTGGGGCATTTTAAAGCTGAATGTTTCAGTACTTACTATGTGCCAGGCATTTTTCTAAGTAATGTTGAGGAGTGTGAATTCAAACACAATAGTTTGAGTTTGAATCCTTCCTTCTTTTTTTTCTAGTTGTTGAGCAAGTTACTTATTTGAATCTCTGTATCTTAATGTAAAGAAAACAAAAATCCTCACCACTGGACCAATAAACAACATTCTTATTAATGGAGAAAAGATTGAAGTTGTCAAGGACTTCATTCTTCTTGGACCAACTATCAACACTCACGGAAGCAGCGGTCAAGAAATCAAATGACATATTGCATTAGGCAAATCTGCTGCAGAAGACCTTTTTAAAGTGTTGAAGAACAAAGATGTCAGCTTGAGGACTAAGGTGCGCCTGACCCAAGCCATGGTATTTTCAATAACCTCATATGTATGCTAAAGCTGGACAGTGAATAAGGAAGACCATAGAAGAATTGATGGTTTTGAGTTATGGTGTTGGAAGAGAATAATAAAAGTGCCATGGGCTGCCAAAAGAACCAATAGATCCGTTTTGGAAGAAGTACATCCAGAGTGCTCCTTAGAGGCCAAAATGGCCAGACTTCATCTCTCATACTTTGGACATATTGTCAGAAGGGATGAGTTGTTGGAGAAGAATACCATGTTTGGTAAGGTGGAGGGTCAGAGAAAATGAGGAAGACCCCCAACGAGATGGATTTGCCAAGTGGCAGCATCGATGAACTCAAGCGTGGCAACAGTAGTGAGGTTGGCCCAGGATCGGACGTAGTTTCATTCTGCTGTGCTTAAGGTCACTATGAGTCAGTACTGACTTGATGGCACCGAACAACAACAACATGTAGTGCTGTGGGATAAAGCACTAGTCTGCAAGGTCAGTTTGAACTGCAAGGTCAGCGATTCAGACTCACCAAGTGCACCTCAGAAACCTTAATACAGGGTTGTTATGAGTCGGAACCAACTCAATGGCACCTAACAATAATTTTAAAGATTAAAAAGCTGACAATTTGTTCATAATGTTGAAGGTTAGTAATACCAGGCAGTTAGTAAGCACTCAATATATAACTGTTGTTAAGTGCCGTCAAGTTGGCCCCGACTCATAGCAACCCTGTATAGGGTTTCCAAGGAGTGGCTGGTGACTTTGAACCTCTGTCCTTGCGGTTAAGTCCAGTGCTTACTATAGCACCACACCAGTACTCTCATTATACAATAGTGGTTGTATGACTGCTCAGAGCCTTCATTCTGTGTCTATTCTGCAAGATCAAAGTATACTTTGGATCAAAAAGTATACTTAAATGCCTAGTACTTACTTTCTTCAGGAGCCTTCGTTGTCTAAGCAGTTTGTGATCAACTGCTAATCAAAAGGTGGTGGTTCAGACTCAGCTGGTGGCTCCAGAGAAGAAAGGTCTAGTGGTCTGCTTCCATAAAGAAAACTCTGTGGAGTAGTTCTGCTCTGTAACACATGGAGTTGAGGGCTGACTCAATGGCAGTCTGCAACAACAACGTAGTCTCTCAAATATTTCATTTTACTTTATAGATAAGAACTGTGGTTGGGTTATGCTGTTGGGCCCAATTAATTATACAAGGTCTTAAATGTTAGGATGCAACATTTAGATGTGATACTGTGGACTTGAAAAACTCAGCTACCAGATAGACTTTCGGTCAAGAGATGAACAAAGTAGCTTGGAATTGGAGAGGGAGAATATCAAGTTTCAAAGACTAGATTTAGGAAACTGTCTCAGGCCAAGTAATGATGCTTAGATTAGTGAAATAAAGAGAGATGTAAAAGATCTGAGGCATTTCTAAGGAATTAATAAAATTTTGGTACCAATTGGATGTGAGGAATATAGAATTAAGAAGAATAAAGTTTTTTTGAACATTCTATTGAGTCAGTTTCGACTCATAGTGACCTTATATAGGGGTTCCGAGGCTGTAAATCTTTACAGGTGCAGAAAGCCTCACATTTCTCCCATATAGAGCCTGCTGGATTCAAACTGCTGACCTTGCAGTTAGCAACTTGATGCTTAACCTACTATACTAACTTGGATTGGTTAAATTTGTTTAGACATAAATGCTTTCAAAGTTTGAAGAAATAACCTTATGACCATGCACTGCACAGTAATACCTGCTTTAGGTTTTCCTTTGGCTTTTTCCATCATGTAGACCCAAATGTGTAATGTGCTAAAAGAAAGCCATTGGTAACAGGGCACAGGTTTGAGTGGTAAGATGTAATTATTTTGGTGTTACCTTAAAACAATTATAAGTGTGTTAGAAATGTGATTAAAAACTCTTAAACTGAAGTTACTTTGAAATGTATCAAAAAACAGTAGATGGATCGTTGTTACTAAGTGCTGTCGAGTCCATTCTGACTGTTAGCCACCCTGTATATAAGGTTTCCGAGGCTACAAACCTTTGTGGAAGCAGAAGGTCTCAATTTTCACTTGTGGAGCATCTGGTGTGTTTGAACTTCCGACCTTGTGGTTTGAAAACCAGTGCTTTCATATGGCGTTACTGTGCTCCCAATAGATGGATCCATGTGATGATGAAGCTATTGTTAAGTGCCACTGAGTCAGTTCCAACTCATAGCGACCCTGTACAGGGTTCCCAAGGGGTGGCTGGTGGATATGAACTGTTGGACTTTCAATTACCTGGCGAGTGCGTCTCCTGCATCGCCACACCAGGACTCCATAATAGAGATGATAAATGTAGCAAAATGTTAATTGTAGCATCTAGCTGAAACCATGGGTGTTTCTCTCAAATTTCTTATAACTGTTTTCTATATTTGAAGGTTTTTAAGTAAGTCTGAAAAATGGCAGTGTAAACTGTTGGCTAAAGACTTGTCTTGAGGGCTTCACTTCCTTGACTGGAGACTTTTGTTTTCTCTGTAGGAACTTTCCGCTGTACTTTTTGTCAGACAGAGGTAGAAGAGGATGAATCAGCAATGCCCAAAAAAGATGCACGCACACTTTTGGCAAGGTTTAATGAACAAATTGAGCCTATTTATGCACTTCTTCGGGAAACAGAGGATGTGAACTTGGCCTATGAAATACTTGAACCAGAACCCACAGAAATCCCAGCTCTGAAACAGAGGTGAGTGTAAGCCCTGTGGTCTAAGGACACTTTCAAGTTCCCTTTTGTTTTAACCACTGGATTGCTAACCACAAGGTCAGAGGTTCAAACCCAATTGTCACTGAGGGAAAAAGATGAGGCTGTCTGCTCCCGTAAAGATTTGCAGTCTCAGAAACCTTATATAGAGTTGCTATGAGTTGGTATTAACTTAACAGAAGTTGGGTTTTGTTACTTTTGGAGAGCAGGTGCAGGTAAGTAATTTACCAGGAAACAAAAGTTTGTAATCTTATAAAGGTTCTAAACTGTGCCATACTTGTCTTATTAACTTGTGCCTGTGATGAAATCCATTTGTACTGAATTCAGAACAGTATGGGCCTTAGGCAAAAACCTTTAAATAGTCAGGTTTGACTTCAAGTACTCTGCCTGGGTCTGCTGCAACTCAGCTGGTTGTTAGCTAATCCTGAATTGGTTGTGCCTCTTGGGGATATTTGAATTTTCCTAGCCAACTTTTGAAGGTTGAAGTTCTTTAAGGGACACAACCTTCTCCATTCCATTTTTTGTTTCTAAAGGTTTAATTGTTCATTTCTAGCCTTTCTGAGTTTTAAATACAACGTCCTTAAAGTTTAAGTATATCAGTTGTTACTAGGGGCTAATACTTCTAACTATGGCTCTAACCTGTTTTCATCAGTATACCCTAGTTTTCAATTGCAGAGGCAGCCTAAATTTTACATGTCTAAGGAGGAGTCCTGGTGTTCAATAGGATAAGCACTCAACCTCAAGGTCAGTTTGAACCGCAAGGTCAGCAGTTTAAACTCAACAACTGCTCCTTGGAAACCCTATATGGGTTGCTATGAATCAGAATTGACTCAGCAGCACTTAACAACAAGTATGGTTCAAGGAGCACTGGTATCATAGTGGAGTATGAGCTGGGCTGGTAACTGTAAGGTCAATGTTTCGAATCTACCAGTCACTCAATGGGAGAAAGATGAGGGTTTCTGCTCCCATAATAATATACGGCCTCAGAAACCCTCTATAGGGTCACTGTGAGTCACAACTGACTCATTGGCATACAGCCACACCACTAAGAAGTGATTTACATTGTTTTTTAACAGTATAAGTGAAAATTGGGATCCAGGAATGATTTTCAGTGCTGCCTTTTTTTTCCTCTCATTCTCCCTAGTTTCAAGATGAGGAACATGTTAAGAATTTCAAGTCTAGCATCATCATATTAGTTAGATCACTTTTTGTTGCACATAACAGAAAAATCAACTAGAGACAGATTGAACAATAAGAAAATCTTGAGGTAGAGCAGTTCAGAATTGGTTAATTTCATAGTTCAATTACATTCTCAAGGTTGTAATTTTGTTACATCTTTACTCTCTGTTGAACATAAGGGGAAGTAACTTAAGATGGTCACACATTTGCTGATATCACATGCAGATGAAAATTTCCAAATGCAGATTTAAGGGCCATCTTTGTGCCCTCTTTTAATTGAAGAAAGCTTTCCCAGGGTTTCTCCTTTGTCCCATTCTTCTAATGTCTTCCTGACCAAAATCAATTTTATATGCTTATTTCTAAACCAGCCTCGACGAAGGAAATGTCTCACATGACTGTTTCTTAGGCTAGGAAAGATTCACCTCCTTGTTGTTAAGTGCCATCAAGTTAGTATTGTTGACTCAGTGAACTTAAGCACAACAGAATGAAACAATACCTGGTTCTGGGCCAACCACACAGTCATTGCTACACCTGTGTCCATTGCTGCTGCCACTGTGCCAATCCATTTCATCAGGAGTCTTCTTATTCTCCAACCTTCCACCTTACCAAACATGATATCCTTCTCCAGTGACTTGTCCCTCCTGATAATATGTCCAAAATATGAGAGACACAGTCTGGTCGTCCTGGCTTCCAAGGAGAACTCTGGCTGTACTTCTTCCAACACAGATCTGTTTGTTCTTTTGGCAGCCCATAGTGCTTTCAATATTCTCCACCACCAGAACTCAAAAGCATCATTTCTTCTATTGTCTTCCTTATTCACTGTGCAGCTTTCATATGCATATGCAGTTATTGAAAATACCAAGGTTTAGGTCATGTGGCACTTTAATCCTCAAACTGACATCTTTGCTCTAGAACACTTTAAAGAGCTCTTGTGCAGCAGATTTGCCTGCTGCTTCCATGAGTGTTGATGGTTGATCTGAGCAAAATGAAGTCTTTGACAACTTCAATCTTTTCTCCATTGATATGGATATTGTTTCCTGGTCCCGTGTGAAGACTGTGGTCTTTGATCTTCATCAGTAATTATTTTAAGTCCTTTTCAATTTTAGCAAGCAAGGTCATATCATCTGCATATCACAGGTTGCTATTGGATTCCTCCAATCCTGATGCCACATTTTTTTTTTTTCCATATAATCCAGCTTCTCGGACTATTTGCTCAGCAAACAGATTGAATAAGTATGGTGAAAGAATATAATTCTGGCACACACCTTTCCTAATTTTAAACCATTCAGTGTTCCTTTATTCCCTTTGAACAACTGCTTCTTGATCTATGTACAGGTTCCTCATGGGCAAAATTGTCTTCCTGAATACTCATATTTTGCAATGTTGTCTACAGCTTGTCATGATCCACGCAATTGACAGTCTTTGTGTAATCGATAAAGCACAAGTAAACATCTTTCTGGTATTCTCTGCTTTCAGCCAACATCCATCTGACATCAGCAATGATATTTCTCATTCCACATCCTCCTTTGAATCGGTCTTGAACTTCTGGAAGTTCTCTGTCAATGTATGTTTGCAGCTATTTTTGTGTTACCTTTAGTAAAATTGTATGATATTGTCCGATGATTTCCACATTCTGTTGGGTCACCTCTCTTTGGAATGGGCACAAGTACAGATCTCTTCCAGTCAGTTGGCCAGATAGTTGTCTTCCACATTTCTTGGCATAGATGAGTGAGTGCCTCCAGTGCCACATCACTTTGTTGAAAGATTTCAATTTTTATTCCATATATTCCCAGTGGTTTGTTCTTTGCCAATGACATCAATGAACCTTGGACTTTTTCCTTTAAGATCATTGGCTCTTGATCTTATGCTACCTCTTGAAATGGCTAAACATCGACCATTTCTTTATGGCACAGTGACTCTATATATTCTTGCCATCTTCTTTTGATGCTTTCTGCATCATTCATTGTTTTGCCCATAGAATCTTTGAATACTGCAAGTCAAGGCTTGAAGTTTTTCTTCAGTTCCCTCAGCTTGATAAACGCTGAGCATGTTCTGCCCTTTTGGTTTTCTAACTCCAGGTCTTCATACATTTTGTTTTAATATCTGACTTTGTCTTCTCAAGCTGACCTTTGAAATTTTCTGTTCAGCTCTTGTACCTCCTCACTTCTTCCATTTGCTTTAGCATCTCTACATTGGAGAGCAAGTTTCAGAGTCTCTTCTGACATCCATTTTGTTCTTTTCCTTCTTTCTTGTCTTCTTAATGACCTTTTGCTTTCTTCCTGTATGATCTTGATGTCATCCCACAACTCTTATGGTGTTTGGTCTTTAGCGTCTAAAGCATAAAATATATTCTTCAGATGATCTCTAAATTCAAGTGGGATATATTCAAGGTCAAAATTTGTCTTTTGTGGACCTTTTTTTATTTTTCTTCAGCTTTAACCTGAATTTACATATGAGCAATTGATAGTCTATTCCACAATCTGCCCCGGCTTTGTTTTACCTAATGATGTGGAGCTTTTCCACCATCTCCTTCCACAGATGTAGTCAATTTGATTTCCGTGTATTCCATCTGATGAGGTCCATGTGTATAGTCATCTTTTATGTTGTTTAAAAAATGTATTTGCAATATAGATGTCATTGGTCTTGCAAAATTCTATCGTATGATCTCCAGCATCGTTTCTATCACCAAAGCCATATTCTCCAACTACTGATCCTTCCTCTTTGTTTCCAACCTTTGCATTCCAATCTTAATCCCCTGAAGTCACTATCATTTCTGATGAGAAGCAGGTGACTTGATACAGTAAGCTGCTGTTGGAACTGTGTGTCATGGATGAGTAAGATTTCTTGGAGGCAGAAGAAGAGAGATCCAAATTAAGATACTGGACTGGGAAGTGGACGGTAAGAGGTGGTGGACATCAGACGCAGATGTCAGTGATGGTGATGAATGAAGGTTACTGTAGTGAGGAAGCATCTTAATAAATAAGACATAAGATTTTAGAGAAACAACAATAAGTCATAGACAGTACTATACTGTATGGAAAGCAATGAGACAGACAGAATATATTCATATTTCAACATGAAATTATCAAACCATAAACCAAAAATAAAATAAAACCAGTTGTCATCAAGTCAATTCTGACTCATGACAATCCTTAGAATATTTTGTATTTTCATGAAGCCAATCTTTCTCATTGGATTCTGTTTTATAGCTACAGTATAACTTCAATGGGCAGATTAAAAAAAAAAATTGATGAAAGACTAAGTGACCAATAACAAAAATGTGAGACTTTCAGTAATGTTGTTGATACTGGTTGTGGCTCCTTCCCTTCTCTGCTTACTGACTTTAGATTCTAATGGCTGTTTGTTCCATCAGTAATTCCCCAGCCCTAGGAGGTGAAGACAGACTAGGAAGAAGGAGACACAGACGGACTACTTCTGTATATTTAGTCACTGAAAACATTATGAATAGTCAAATAACATCAGTATATGGGGGACTGAAACAAGATGAAGAGCACCAGAATATGTCAGCCGTAGTGCTAGTAGATGAGTCCCTCAGGTTGGAGGCACTCAAAATGTGACTAGGGAAGTGCTGCCTCCTCAAAGTAGAGCTGCCCATGATGATGTGAATAAAGTAAAGCCCTCAGGACCTTTATTTGCTATGGAGGTACAACTCAAACTGAAGAGAAACACCTGTAAGCATTCACTAATAATCGGAAAATGGAATGTACAAAGTATGAATCTAGGAAAATAGGAAATTGTCAAAATGAAATGGAAAGCACAAACATTGATATACTAGGCATTAGTGT